ACAACAACAACAACAACAACAACAACAACAACAACAACAACAACAACAACAACCGCCACCACAACAACAACAACAACAACAACAGCCACAACCGCCACCACAACAACAACAACAACAACAACAACAACAACAACAACAACAACTCACCCGTTCGTGCCGTTTGTCTCTGCTCGGTTAAGGCTCCAGTGTCGCCTCCTTGCCTTGGCTTTGAACTTCTTACCTCTATCGCCGGCCATTTTGTTATCCCAAGACCTTAGATCCCTATCTTAGATTGCCTGAGCGGGAGAAATTCCGTATCCAGCGACCACTATAAAAATGATAGAGAATTAGGCTTAATTAAGGGTTTTAAGATTAGTGTTTGGGATTGGGTTTCAATTTGGGCTAGGGTTTCGGTTTGGTTATGGCTTAGGTTAAGACTAGGGCTAGGGCTAGGGCTAGGGCTAGGGCTAACAAGCCGATAGTTAGAGATAAAGTCAGACGTACGCCATTGACCGATATTTATAGTAACAGCTATATTGTTTGTGTCATAAAATAGGGTTTTTTTTATTCTGACAAAAGACAAAAGAAGTTCCAGACCTACTGTCTCACTGTCTGATTAAAAAAAAAGTAGAGTACAAAAAAAGAAAGCTTTTTAAAAAAAATTTAGCAAAATGTTAGGATAAGGCTCATTATTTTATGTATGTTAAAGAATAGGTCAAACAAGATGGCTGTTACTATAAATATCAGACAATGGCGTAAATCTGACGTTCTCTAACTATCCACGCGTCTAAGGCTAGGGCTAGGGCTAAGGCTAGGGTTAGGGGTAAAGTTAGAGTTAGAATTAGGGTTAGGGTAAGGGTTAGGGTAAGGGTTAGGGCTAGTGTTAGGGGGTCCTTTCTTTATGTGTTTGTTGGGGTTTTTGCTCGTTACAGAAGTCAACCCGATGAAGCAATGGTAGAGCTTTCTTAGGCTTGGGAAGCCTGGGCCTTGTCGGGTATGGCAAAATGTTATACCTAACTTATTTTGTTCTCCAAGAGAGGGAGATAGAGAGAAAGAGAGAGGTGTGTGAGAGAGACAGAGAGAGAAAGAAAGAAAAGGAGGAAGAGAGCGAAACAGAGAAAGAAGAGGAAGAGGGGGGCGGGAGACAGACAGACAGACAGACAGACAGACAGACAGACAGACAGAGAGAGAGAGAGAGAGAGAGAGAGAGAGAAAGCGAGCGGGGTGGGGGTGGGGGTGGGCTGAAGGTGCACAAAGGAAATCTAAAAGGAACTGAATCTCATTCTAGTATTTACCAAAATGTTATAATGAACAACTTCAGTTTGCCGATATCTTTCTGGGTAAAGACAACACCCATAAGAGAAACAAACCACAAAGTCTCGTTTTCACTTTTACAATATCAGAAAATCACTCACACATTATTTTTATCCCTAATAGTCGAAAAACGGTAGTCGAATCATTTCACATAAATTGATTATTTGAAAAAAGATTAAGCTTTAAAGATTATTGCCAAATATTGACGTCACCAGGTTCTAAGGGTTGTTGTTGTCGTTGTTGTTGTTGTTGTTGTTGTTGTTGTTGTTGTTGTTGTTGTTGTTGTTATTGCTGTTGTTGCTGTTGTTTTTGTGGAGTGTGCTTAGTTCTTTTTTCTTCGTGTTTTTGTTTTCTTTGTTTGTATTTGTTTTACCTCATTGCAAACTGTCTCGTAACATCATTATAACAATTTCTCAAGGAAGAAATGAAAAAGTACTAACCGTGAAATAGAACACACTCCAGTAGAAGACTCGTGAGGACAGCTTTGAAAAGTCCAGTTATGCTGGAGGGTGTCACAGATTACCTGTGTTCTCTCGATATATACCAGCGTCGTGTGTGTGTGTGTGTGTGTGTGTGTGTGTGTGTGTGTGTGTGTGTGTGTGTCATGCTGCATAATGTGTCTGTGAGCATGTTTCACACACAGAGAATAATATTAAACTCCTTTCTTACCAAGAGAAAGAAAGTTGGTGTGAGAGAGAGAGAGAGAGGGAGAGAGAGAGAGAAAGAGAGAGAGAGAGAGTGTGTGTGTGTGTGTGTGTGTGTGTGTGTGTGTGTGTGTGTGTGTGTGTGTATGCGTGTGTGTGCGCGCGTGTGTAAGTGTGAGAGGGAGACAGAGACAGAAAGAGAGAGAGACAGAAAGGGTGAGAGAGGGAGAGAGAGAGAAAGAGAAAGAGAGAGAAAGAAAGAGAGAAAGAGAGAAAAGGAAAGTGTGTATGTGTGTGAAGGCTTAGGCGAATTTGTATGTTTGTGTGTGTGTGTGTGTGTGTGTGTGTGTGTGTACGTGTGTGTGTGTAACAGAGAAAGACAGACAGATGGACAGACTGTGTGTGTGTGTGTGTGTGTGTGTGTATGTGTGTGAGCGTGTGTGCGTGTGTGCGTGTGTGTATGTTTGTGTATGTGTGTGAGTGTGTATTCGTGTTTCAGAGAGAGAGAAAGAGAGAGAGGGAAAGAAAGAAAGAAAGAAAGAAAGAAAGAAAGAAAGAAAAAAGGAGACAAAGAAAGAAAGAAAGAAGAGAGTGATAACACATTCAAGCAGACAGTCGGAGATACTTGATTAAAAAAGCAAAAACAAACTGTATCAAAATCTCTCCCATTCTGGAATCAAACTCACGTCTATAACAAGCAACAACGAAGGGCCTAATCATTACAACACTTACATTGTCACGATCATAAGATATTTGTGAAAGTCGATTTTGGCCTGTTTGGAATTTTTGGTTCTAATAATAATAATAATAATAAATAATAATAATAATGATAATAATAATAATAATAATAATAATAATAATAATAATAATAATAATAATAATTAATAATAATAATAATAATAATAATAATAATAATAATAATAATAATAAAGAGCATTTGTGTAGCACAAATCCCCGCTCAACAGCAAGCTCTATGCGCTCCAAATGACTGAAAATGACGGAGGCCTTTATCTTATGAGCGTGACTACATCAGTCCATTCAGGGAAATGCAGCAAAAATGTGTTTTTTTAGTTTTAGTAGAGGTTTTATGACGTTCGCAACTGCATAAGGTCGTATGAGCGCCAGAAGATTAGAAGTGTTACAAGAGAGTAACAGACACAAACATGAAGGAGGGGAGATAAGGACAATAGATGTTTGATATGAATGAAGGAGCAAACCACATCAGAGCACCCGCAAACCACACAAAATATTTTTAGAAAATGCTCTGCAGTTTTATTTATTGTTAAGTTATTGGACGGTATGAACAACGGTAAGTAATTTTATTGATTGAATGACTCGATAGATTAATAATATTATTGCAGAAAGTTCTGGTTATGGTCGTTATTGCTGCCTCAAGTTCAAGTCGTTGTAGGTTTCGGAGAAGGCGACATAGGCATCTCTATCTCAGGGTCGGTTTCTTCCGCTGTTTGTTTTCTGAAAATAAGTACAATGCACACAGTCAGTTTCCCATGTATTTGTACCTTTTTTTGGAGATGTTGTCGCTAATCAATAGGAATGCTTGTATATCAAATGACGAGTTGAAACTACAGCAAACTTATAGATTTTCTTCCTTCTCCTTCCCTTTCTCCTCCTTTTACCTTTTCCATTTTCATTTTCCTCTCCTTCTTCCTTTTCTCCTTCCTCTTCTCGGAAATTTCTGCTTTCATCTAAACCTAAAATATTTTGAAGTTTTTGAACGCAAGAAAAAAGACGCGCATCTTGCACATTACTAAAGCAGCCCGCACTTTGCTGTTTCACAACAAACATCCCTTGTTCCCTCAAATAAAAACATCAGTCAGAAGTAAAAGACCTATGCTTCTGATCTGTAACAGAAGGTCATTTTTACCATCATCTATCAAAATGCTTCCATCTTAACCATCTTGTATAAGTATACTTACGACCTTAGAGCATGCATCAAAATAACATTGAGAGTGTATCTAGCTTACCATTATTATTGTTTATATTGCTGCTCATTTATATTGTGCATGTGATTGTAAGCTTACTTGTGTGTGCATGTGGGAGCACGTGTGTACGTGTGTGTGTTTGTGTGTGTGTGTGTGTGTGTGTGTGTGTG